GGAAATATTCTCAGCCACGGGAATGTGCCAGTGGAGTTCTGATTGTTAGTCTTTTGGCTGTTCAATCAAACCCTCGCGGGGGGTCCCCCCACCTAGCAAGCTGCCACATCCATCCTGGGTGGCCTTATGGGAGACTGTCAGCTGTGTTGTGCCATACACCCTCGGCTGCTGGCTTCTAGTCCCCTTCTTCTAGCTGCTGCTGCCTTTTCACGGTTGGAAGAAAGGTGGAAGGAGGGCCTAGAGGAGGGGACAGAGCATTCAAGGAAAGCCCAGAAAAATGGATGGGAGCAGGAGCCTGACAACAGCTTTTTGTACCATCAACTTCCAGGCTGATGATGCTTCACCTCCAAGGCCAGGAATGAGGAGCAGGCTGCAGGGTCTGGCCTCGTGGTGAGGAACTGAGCTGGTGGCAAATTTTCCGAGATACTGCGGAGCTGATTAATTCTAAACGTTGACAAGAACGTATCCGTTTTGTTAACATTTTCAATGGGAAGGTATCAAACTGTTTCCTTTTAAATGTGTTATGTTTATGATGGGAGATGAGATATGAAAAGAAAATCCAGATATTTTGACTTTTTATCCCAATTTGTCCCAACAAATTTCAAAATCTTCACATTTCCCAGGACATCCTTCTGGTTTTTGGCCTTCTCTAGCGAGAAGCAAGGCTGCCAGGGAAGCACCAACTTGTGGCCCAGCTGGCAAGCTCCTGGAGAAAAGGAAAGCGCCTGCCGTTAAGTGGCTAGAAGTGACCCACTGCGAGCAGGAAGAGGCAGGCATGGAGCACAAAACGGCATCCAAACACCGCAACAATCCCGAAATCAGGATTTCTGTAGCCCGAGGGCCCCAGGGTGGATTTCTGCGGGTGTTGCTCCCCTGCAGCCTGCAACAGCAGAATTCGCAGGACCTGCGTTCTAGTGAGGCAAGTCCAGCTGCTGCTGGTGCTTTGTGTTTGTGACGTGGACAGTGCCGATGCTGTAGGAAGGGGTTCCGAGCTGCCTAGACACCCAGCCTGCCGTGGGACGTGGTACCCTGAGAGCAGAGCCCAGGGCGGGAGCTGGTCATTCTCTGGAGCATCGCCCTTTCCTGAGGCGCTGGCTGATGCTCAGCGCACAGGACCAGGTGAGACTGTGGCGCGGGAGGTGAAGGGAATTGCCCAAGGTCCCCCACCGAGTCAGTGTCCAGGCCACATCCAGCCTC